AAACTCTTGGCTGTGATTGGTCCAATCTATGAATAATTAGTGCCAGGATCCTGCTCAGGATCCCAACTTTTGCACTACCCCAAGTTTTTAAGTGTTTTAATTGCCACAGAGGGGGGCTGATTGAATGTAAAAACAGAGCAAATATGCCAACAATTATGAAAGCTGTTGGAGACAGCAAAAATTACTACACAGGACAGTGTAACTTGTAAAGTAAACTAACTTTTAACCATGAGAAATAGCAGACCTGTTTTTGCCAAGTATAAAGGATTTTGTCAAAATACACGCATTGTGACAAAATCTCATATTTGGTCATTGCTTATGACGTGTCAAACGTTGCAAAATTCAATGTTTCACAATATATATGTTTGATGTTCAATATTTGTGTGTTATCTTTTACATTTATGTGTGATGTTCAGTATGTACGTGCGATGTTCAATATATGTGTGCGATGTTTTTCAATATTGTGTGTGATGTTCAATATATGTGCGATGTTTTACATTTATGTGTGATTTTCAATATATATGTGCGATGTTTTACAATATATGTGCGATATTTTCAATTATGTATGCGATGTTTTACATTAAATGTGCAACGATTTAGATATAATTATGTGTGATGTTTTACAATATATTTGCGATATTCTCAAATATGTGAGCGAATGTTTGACAAATATATGTTTGATATTTCGAGCAATACATTTTGGTGTTTTTACTGCTGTATTTGATATTTCATCGTATATGTATTCGATCTTTTGCAATATGCATTTGATGTTTCACTTTACATTTGATGTTTCGTTAAGAGTCGCAGTCTGGTTACTAGACCGCAAAAGTCTTAACATTTAGCCTAAAGTCAGTGTATGAGACGTCAGGGGATCGCGTAAGTGATTAGAGCCAGACCTAAATGGTTAAAAACCGGAATTGTGGGTAATCTTGGATCATGTGCAAAGCAGTCATCATTGTTTGGGCAGTACCGCCAGCTATCTGCATGTGTTTGTAATTTGGATGTTTATGTTGTTAGCATGGCGCTATAAAACCAATCCGCGCAGTACCCGGTGCAGTTTATTCATCGTAATTCTCGAATAAACAGCCCACCGAGTGTTGTATAAACAAGAGATAAGAGTTACAGAATTCGTTGGCTTTAAATAAGTGGCAGACGCGAGGGCTTCCTTACTCTATGGTGAGAGACTGAGGATATTTTTTAGCAAAAAAATGTTTTCTTTTTAAAACTTTATGGATTAATATTTAGTGCAAGGAGTGAAATATACATATTTAGACTTCTTCTCAAGTTACTCTCAGTCATTTTTAGTACAAAAGGGTAAAATGTCAAAATGTCGAATATCCGAGTGTTGTAAATTCGAGCTGGGAGGATTACGGTTGCGCCGAGAGGGATTGAGACCATTATACGGCCGACAAAGAAAAGAAAATTCCCATAAGGCCTATGTCTGCAAAATTTCACTAAATCGATAGATGGGTAAAGCATAGAGAAAAGACATACAAACTTCAATTATAAGCGCCCCGAATTGCGAATAATTCGGTATCAAAACAGTCTCAGCCCAACTCATTTCACATCGAGGCTTACATCCAGGCACTTGAACACCCATTTTTTTTTATCGCGGATAGAACAGATCTCCGGCTTTGGAATGAATTTGGTCCGTCGCTAATGACAGCAATTTTAATTTGTTTTTAAATCATTTACGAAAGGGGGTAGGAAAAAGAATGTATAAGTGCCTTGAGAAAATCGGTGCATTGGTAAACCCAGCCCGATTAATTTTATGATGAGACGGAGATTCGGCTTTTTTCAACATTCACTGCCATTGGGTGAAATGAAAACCAGTAATTCAGTCAGACGATTTTGTTCCATCACTAATTTCAGAAGTGTCTAGATTCGATGGATGGGTTAAGGCACATCTAAAGTTTAATTTATTAGCGCCCCGAATAATTTGGTATCTAAACAGTCTCAGTCCAACTAATTTAATACATCGTTCATCAGAATTATGGATTTCCAGCTTTGAAATGAATGTGTTCCATCTTTAATGAGACAATTTTGTTTTTTTGTGTGTTAAATCATCTTACGAAAGGGGAATGAAATAGAATCCTGCCCCGAAAAAAATCGACGCACTGGCAAGCCCTTTTGAAATTCTTTCAAATCCACAGAGCAATCGGGTCGGGAAGGGCCACGTTCTGAGGCCGAGGGCCCAGAGTCTGGTGAGAGTGCCCGGCCCGTGCTGACAGGCGCGGTCCGCTGATCAGTGTGCACGTACGTGCCGTTCGTTGCGCCCCGCACATCGCCGAGGTCTGATAAGGCAGCCGCGGCCGATAACGGGTTCAGCTATTGTTTTGGACGGGAAAATATTGCAAAAATAGCAAACGAACTGGGGTTTGTACCCGAACACAGTGCTCGCCCAAAACGCACCCATTTTGCCGATAAGCACAGAGCCCCTTGCTAATGATGTAAGCAATCATAATGATGAAATTTTTCAGACATATTAACTTGTTTGTGGTTGTAGTCAGTATCGGCCGTATTATATCATGGCCTTATAAAAGTTATAATCCCTCTCAGTGCCGCTCGGATATTCGACATTTTGTACTACAAAAAAGAGTGCAACTTGAGAATAAGTCTAAATTGGTACTTCACTAAACTTGCACTGAATATTAATATTGTCAAGTTTAAAAAAAAAAAAATCTATCTTCGGCCCAAATGTCACACAACTTCCATCGTGTGCCACATAAGCCAATGAATTACATAACTTCGTTTGTCGCCTATCAGCTTATGCTAACAAATTATCATGTAACTGGATCATTAAACGGGACAGGTGGACATCGGCCTTGGAACTCAGACCATCATGTCAGGCACTCCTCAATGCATAGATGATGCACATAACACTATGGGTAGTACAGGCACAGCTGGGGGTACTGCCCAAACAATGATGAACGCATTGCGTATGCTTAAAGAATTACCCACAATTCCGGTTTTAGGTCTGGCTCTAATCACTTACGCGATCCCCTGATGTCTCATACACTGACTTTAGGCAAAATAGTTAGACTTTCGCGGTCTTGTAACGAGACTGTGACTCTTAACGAAACATCGAATGAAAAGTGAAACATCAAATGCATATTGCAAAAGATCGAATGCAAACATGCCGATGAAACATCGAATACAAATAGCTCGAAATGTCGAACATATTTGTAAAACATTGCTCACATATTTGAGAATATCGCAAATATATTGTAAAACATCACACACAATTGTATCGAAAAACATCGCACATTTAATGCAATACATCGAACATAATATTGAAAACATCGCACATATATATCGTCAAACAAATTGAAAATCGCATATAAATGTAAAACATCGCATACATATATTGAACATCGCACATATATTGTAAAGCATCGCACACAATTGTATCGAAAAACATCGCACATTTAATGCAATACATCGAACATAATATTGAAAACATCGCACATATATATCGTCAAACAAATTGAAAATCGCATATATATGTAAAACATCGCATACATATATTGAACATCGCACATATATTGTAAAACATCGCACACATATATTAAACATTGCACACATAATGAAAAACATCGCACACTTATTTTGAACATCGCACATAAATGTAAAAGATAACAAACACATATTGAACATCCAACATATATATTGTAAAACATTGAATATTGCAACGTTTGACACGCCATAATTACTTGCTCCTGAAAAGTCAGTCATCACATCGACAAAAAGGTTACATTCACTTAGTCATTTTCTAGATTAGATGAATAACAAGTCACTAAACAACATCACATTACAGACTGAGGAAACCACACATTCGTTCAATGGGGCATATAGCTACAGCATGGCAGTTTCAAAATTCCAATTTGTGATTGTATTAAAGTAGGAGAATGAAGATCCTTTGATGGAATGCTGTTTGAATGGTACCTCTATGTTTTGAAGTGTTCATTTGATTTGAAGGCCATAGCCCCAGTGCATGTTGTGCCTAGTGGGTAACATGGCCCTGTCCTGATTACATACTTTTGCTGGGGCACAGAGTGTAATCTTTCAATACACTGATCCATTAAAAATAAGGCAAATGAATAAAGTCACTCAGAGACGGAGATTGTGTACTATCAATACTACTCAGGGGCGGATCCAGGAATTTTTGAAGGGGGGTGGGGTTTCATCAGCGAAACAAATCTGAAATGTAGACAGGTTTTTTCCTCCGGACACTTGGCCTTCTGGCAAGTTTTGGTGTCACATTTATTTAAGATATGATGCACCCTGACAAGTGTCTAGTGTGCTCATCTATACATTTATCAGGGCACAAGGCAGGATCCAGAAAACATTTATGGGGGGTCAAACATTATTTTGTTTCCTAAAAAAATGGGTCCACAAATGTTACATCCCAAATTTAATATGAAAAGCATGTATTACTTTTGTTGAATTTTGTGGGGTTGTGTACGCAGTGATGGCTGCCTTTTTTGTATCACTTACAAAAACTAATATTAAAATTACATACATTAAAAATTTGTGTGTGTTTTTTTGGGGGGGGGGGCCGGAGCCATTTTTTTTTTTTACGTCGCAATAAAGGCTGCCTTGTCGTTTGTCGATGTCTAGTCGCTAGCATTTGCAATATTTTGCAAGCACCACGCTCAGGGTTTTCCCGATGTGTGGTCATGTGACCGGTCCTATTTGATCGATAGAGGGCACTCTACTGTGCAAGCAGCAGCTAGCCTGTGGCTGGGCCAGCCATGTATCAGATTAAATCGAAAACCAGGCGTGCTTTCCAGTGCGGTCACGTGGCCACCCCTAGGAGCCAGCCATTGGACAGCCAAAGCCAAGTTCGCGCAAGGACTATAGTTGACCAATGGTTAACTAACGTTTGCCCGAACTCTGTCTAGTCGACGGTGGTTGACTACGCTAGTCGACTATTTGGAACCAGCCTACTGGGGTTGGTTGCTTCGCTGGTAACCAAAAGCCGCGCGCATTCATAACGCAAGCAGAGAGCCAGGATCCAGAAGTTTTGCGATGACATCGCTATGGCTGCCATACCCCATGGCAATATTACGAGTGGAAAGTTGTGCGTTCAGCCTGTGACTTTTTGTGAGTAATATAATTTCGGGGAGAATAATTTCAAGGAGCGATTTCCGCCCTTGCTTCACTTGGGTTGCACAGTAGGCCTACTGCAGTGAATAGGCTGCTTCAAGGATACTATGAACGCCAATATAGCATCTTTGTTGCTTTTTTACACCTGAGTTTGGGTTTATTGATTTGGTCCTGGAAGATTTCTTAACTTAACAAAAAGATTCCAGCTTCTTCTGTGGCCTAATTACGCAAGTTTATTTCTGCACCTGGTGATATCCAGTTTGACTTAACCGGTTTTTTTTTTTTTTTCGGTCCGAAATTTTGAGTAAGTGCAGGCATTTTTAAACATGATTTGCTATTCTTTTGACGGGAATAAGTTCTTACTTCGAGTTAAAGGGATTTTCAAGTTATCAGAGTTTGACTTATCGAGATTTCACTGTATATCACAATTAATTGAAGACTGACAATAAATATCAGGGTTTCTCTGACAAAGTGCCAGAGGAAAACCATTTTACAAGATCCCAATGTGAACTAATATTTGACTTTGTAACTGTGAAGTCTTTTTGAATAATGCCATACAGAAGTGCAGACAAAAGTGACTACCAATGCTCTACTGACCTGTGACTGGAGCTGGATATATAGCTGGGTGACCTCCTTGAGTTTGAGACTGAGTCTATCTGCTTGCAAGCAGTGCTCATCAGTGGCCGTATTGGCTTCTTTTATCTCTTGCTCCAGCTCTGTTTGTCTGTTTTTGAACCTCTACACAATTTGAAAATAAGATTAAACAACAAATGTTAAAAATAAATAATGTTGTATAATGAAAAATCAAGATTTAAGGCTGGTTCATACTTCAGAGAAACATGCACAACAAATTCACTAAATATGTTAAACTTTGGAAATTTTGCAATGTGAAACTTGCTATAATAGCTGAAATATGTGTTCACGTTGGCCCTTGTGCTGAGTATGACAGGCCAACCTAACTTATTTAAACAGAATTTATATGTTATAATAACATATGTGTAATAAGTGTGCAAAACCATCACAGAGCTTTTTAAATATTGACAGCTGGCTGAGGTAGTAATTTTAGTTTCAAATGGACCATAGAGCCAGGTCAAATGAAAGGATAAATATGTTCCTAAAAAGCTGACTTTGTATGATATGTACCCAAACTATGCATCAGCTATCAGTTCTTTGTTTTTTCCTTAAATAAATTATCTGTCAGTCTTATCTGTGTCAGGAATGTACACTTTTGAGAATAGATATGGGGGACTCACAAACAAGTTCCTGGAGTCTTCTCTATATTGACAGTTACCTGCTTGGCTTGGTACAGTCTATCGTTGGCCTCATCAAGCTGTGACATGGTCTCTGATAAAATCTTCTCAACGTTTTCTTTTTCCTGTTAAATCAACACAGACAGATTGAACTGATGAAAATCATATTTTGAAGGGGGAAAAAAAATCTAAAGCACAAGATGAAATGCATATTACTTCACTCAATCAAATGGCAGTTAATATCTGAACCACAATTGCCATTCCATTTTTGTTGTACTTTTGTACACGACACAGATAGATTTTATTATTTCTTTTACTTTTTATTAATTTAATAAGACAGGAAGTTTTAAATACTTTGGAAAATGTTAGGGAAATATTAGCACAATAACTTGTTCTTTTTGTAATATAGTGTGAACTCTTAGATCATTAGCTCAAGAAACAACTTTGGCAGTTTTTTAGTTGCCCTTTCTCCCACAGATTCCCACATGAAAACTATCAATTTTTTCCAGATTGATAAAAAATGTTTGGAACAGGGGCGGAGGAATGGGGTGAGGGGAGCAGGGTACTCCCCTCCCCCCAATTTTACCCAGTTTCCCCTCTTGTGGACATAAATGTGCACCCTCAAGCATAAATTTCGGATAATTTGTTTTCAGTAACCATTTCCCAAAATGGTATAGAAAGTTGATATGAACGGGGAATATGCAAACCAAGCCCCAAAACCCTTACAATGCGCCCTGCAAATGGGCACATTATGCGTACTTTGCATAATGGCCGGTTTTGAATAGCGCCCCCTATTTTGAAAGATGGTACCAGCCCCCCCCCCCCCCCCCATTTATTTTATGGAGGCCAAGTGTCCAGTGACAAAAAAATGTGTCAACATTTCAGCACTGATGTGCTCTTACTGAGCAAGTGCCCCTTTTCCGCTGCCACTGGGTTATGGAGCTCACCTTTATTTGAAGGAGCACCCTAACTTTCACTTGGTATATGATTTTGTTAGGCTCTAAAACAATTTCCCACAAAACTATAAAAGTTGGAAAGATCGTTAAAATGAACACAAACAAGTTTACTACTAAATTTCTTTAACTTCCAGTATGTGTGTACTAGTATAATTTCTAATCGCACATTTCTTTCTTTTTGAGAACTTTCTTTGCCTGAATGGCTCATTGTTTTTAACAGGTCTAATTTTGAGCCAATATTTCAGCTCACAGTATGCCAAGAGTTGAAGCTTACTTACCTTCCGGAAAGAATTTATCTCCGAGTGTGAGAAGTTAAGCGCTTCAACAAGCTTAGTCTTCTCCTCCAGACGCTCTTTTTTACCACTCTCTGGCAAGTGAATTTTGTTTGGGAAAAAAAAAATCAGTGCATCAGCAAACACTGATCAACAAGCAACACAATAAAAACAAAGAGACAACTACAGAAAGGATCAATCTAACTAAAATATCATTAATTTATTGAGATAACTATACACAGGGATATTGTCAATTGATATCTTGAGCAGCTACTAACAAATATATCCAAGTTGCTTTGCAAGGCTATTAGTAGCCTTTTCAGGGTTATTCATGTTGTTTACCTTGTATATTTCACATTTTACCTGTCACAGCATTTTTTTTTGTCAGCATTACTTTGTTTACTGCTTACATCTGATCTCAGGAAAATTTTCCTCAGATTCACCCAAGTTAATTCTTAAATGTGACTACATTTATGTGTGCTGCCATGTTTCATGTGGTGGGGGTTGTAAATGCCTGTCCATGCTTCTCATTATTTGTCAAATATACCATCACAAGGCCCACAGGTTGGTCTTCTTTCTAAATTGAAAAAAAAATGTTGGGCAGAGTGGGGTTCATGTAGCTTGGGACTATGGGATGATTAAGAATAGAGCTGTACCCAAACTGCTGAACTAAACCAAAACTCAATTTGATTTGATTTGTTTCTATTCATCATAATTACAATAATTTGCATTATGTTTTTAATAAAGGGACTTTACAAAACAAACATAATAAATGGCGAAGGCTGGCAGATAGCTTCAGCTTGATCTTGGCCAAGTCCCCGAAACTAAACTTTTTTAAGCAGCAATTTGACACGGAATGAAATAGCCGTTAAACTACAGTCATGACACTGTACATGTATTCACGGTATTCACGGTAAACTCTCAACAAATTTACATAAATTCTTAAAATCAGATAACTATAAGGGAGGGTTTGTCTACAAAGTATTTTGTCTAATTCAGTTAAAATAATATTAAATCAGTTAAAGTATCACAATAACTAGTCTGTAACACACTGAGTATTCAGTGTTTATACGTCGGTGAAGAGCGAAACCTAATTTGATATACATCACCCCACGCAAAATTCCATCTAACGAATAACTAGTCTGTTGTTATGGGATTTTACAAGTAAAAACTTGGTGCATAGATTTCGCATGTGTTTTTGAAGCTGTCATGCTCTACTGTCCATATTGGAATCTGACCAATTTGTATTTGCTAAGCATTGTTCGTATCAGTAATTGGGTTGAGGGTATTTTTGGGCGCATTTTTAAGAGCTTAAAAATCAAATGTCCCCAAGGACAAAATTGGTTGAAGTTTTATGTGTGTTTTATGGCAGCCATATAAAAGTTGGCTTATCATTGTTGGGTGAAATGAGAGTAGGCCCTGCATCATGTTCAGAAATTTGTTAGTAAGATTATGACATTCATAATTTAATAAATTGATATTGAAATCAATGACATATATAACAAGTTTTATTCTCTAGGGTTATTCTTACAACAATGGCATCAAGATACGCAGTAAAATTTCATACACATGAGCTCGGCAGTCTATATATTAATCAGAATACAATGTTTTTGTTAATGTTAAAAAGGGATTCAAAGTAATCAGAAGACTGAAATATATCAGATCTAATTTTGTGAGAAAGATAGTTTTTGATGTAAGCATTACCCCTCCACCTGCTTTGTTATCTCTAGTTTTATATTTAACATTTAACAGTGTTTCTGGCCTCCTGTTTATACTCCCCCGTGGAGTCCTTAGGAGAACAACCAACCAAGATACCAACCAAGATACATTATATCCCAGGACAGTAACCATTGAATCGGGTTCATCATGAAGCCATGTTTCTGTTTGGCTAATAATATGAAAAGTGTAATAAATCTCGTATAAGGAATGCTTAATGAAATCAAAGTTTTGTTAATGCTTCGCATGTTGATGTGATAAATAAAAAAGGATTCTTGCGGAAATGTTCTCACTTTAGATATAAGGTATGTATCTGTTAAATGCTAACACCCAGAAGCCTGGCAATGGCAGCCATTCTGGCCATCACGCTCAGTGTCACTTACCGATCATTTCCATGTGGATGATTTTCACTCAGCTTGGTTCTCAATGATCAGTGGTGTCTACTTGTCAATATTTTAAAATGATAACGCTACTTTGGCCGTGTAAGCATGAACCTTCATTGAATACCACGGAGCTCAGTGTGTGTTCCTGCTTATGCTGATACAGCATTCACTTCTCAAAGCACTTCTCAACTTAAGTGTTAATGTTCATTTTAACAGGTTCAGAAATACGAATTTTTTATGCAACATATTTCTACTTGCGCAACCAAAATTAACCAGACACAACTGCCAAAAAAAACCTCAGAGGCGATAAACTTACACACATCTTATTGGGAGAAAAATAAATGGTTCATGTGCTCTCACTCACCAGTTTTGTGTGGGAGAAGACAAATGAAAGGTTAATGACAAACTGCAAAATACGAACACATTTTCCACATACTCAATTCAATTTCAATTGGAAATTTGCACTCCAAGAGTGAAGCAAACATTGAATTATTTCAAATTCATGCAAGAAAGCAGGGGCAGTTTGATGCAAATTCTTACCAAGTTCTTTGATCTGTGCCTGTAGTTCTGTGATGGTCTTTCTGCTCTGTTGTTGCTCCTCACACTGTGTTTGTACCTTTATTAATTGCAGTCCTATTTCTTCTAATTCTTGCCTTTTCATAGCAACATCAGAACAAAGATGCTCAGCTTCAACAGTCATACCACCAATAAGCTGAGGGCAAAATACATACATAACTTCCTCACCATCAAAAGTCAAACTATGGAAAAACATGATCCAGTTTTCCCCAAATAGTGTTTTGCAAGGGCAGCCTGTTATGCTAGAATTTTATGGTGCCCCATATGTTTTGTTCTCAAATTTTAGTGCACACAGCTATATCTTCAAATCATCAGCTGCACGCATTTTAAATCACCAACTTAAAAAAAATCTGTGAAAGTTTGAGGCCTAGTCACATCGGACATCTTACAAGGAACAAACATTGCCAAGCGATCAGTTTTTCCAGCTTGATCGCAGTCTGATCGCATGCCTGCAATCAACAGGAAACTTGCGGCAGCTGACAGACAACATCCTGAATTTTTAGTAGATCCTTTCTTCTTTGAGGCGATCTGTTCAGGCAATCTTAAACTACGCTCTCATCATATGGCTTATTGGCAATCACTGTTCATTTTGTATGTGCAAAATTGCGAATAAAAAATGAAACAAAATATTGAGAGTTGAGTTGTGTCATTTGTTTCAATTGGCAATTGCTTTTCAGCCTTAAGGCTACGCCTTCTGTTAAAAGAAACATAGAGCTTATTCAGAAACCTACTCCTGGCATGTCACGGTAGTATAGCCATATTGTGTTGCTTTTAATGATTACTTCATTTCCAAGTTTCACCTGCTCAAAATTCAAAAGCCATAAATCAGGCAACAATTTGTTAAAATCCAAGGACATTTACCCTATCCTGTGACAAATAAATGCAAAAATGTGAAACCTGTAAGCAGCATTTTTGAACTACAGGTATTGTTTTTTCTAAAGATCATCAGAATTTATTGGATCCAAAGCAATATGAATATTTTAAAAGGGACTAATGGGACGCTTTATTGACTTCAGTCTAGAGTGTACGTATTGAAAACAATAGTCAGTGGTGGCGCCAGACTCACAAGGGGGGGGGGCAGTGGCGTAGCATGGTCATTTCTATTGGGGTAAACAATTTTTTTTTAAAGGGCACTTGCACATCAGCGCTGAAATGTAGAAACATTTCTTTCTCCGGACGCTTGGCCTCTGTAAAATTTAATAGTGGTGGGGGGAGGGGCTGGTACCCTCTGTCGATGGGGGCGCTGTTCAAAACCGACGATTATACACACTACCAATGGACAATCAATTATGCTTTTTATGAGCGGAATTAAAAAAAGGCACACGTAATGACCGATGGCATAAAAAGGGCACCGTTTAAAAAAAAAAGAAAAGCCAATTGCTCAGAAAAAAAAGGGCACTCGTTCGGAAAGTAGGGCACTTGTTAAATAAAAGAAGGACACTCTTTACAAATATTGGGGGTTAAGTGCTGGTGAAAAAAAGGGCATTTGAAAGGAAAAGGGCAGTCTTTACAAAATATTGGGGGTATATATCTTTGTTTTTTTACACGCAACCTTATCCCGCCAGCTACGGTCAATCATGACAAAAATCGCTGACAGTGGGTAATCCAAAATCACATGAAAAAAAACAACAGCAAGGAGCACGCACAGCAGCACTAATAGGATTTTAATGAAGAAAGCCTAATCTGAACTATGAAACATGAAGCAGGGAATTATGTAATACACTGGGCTCCCTCTTCTCAAGGCTGCCCAAAGAAATCAGGGGGAAGCCTATTCCAGATGTTTAAAGCGACTGGTAGGAAGCTCAGGTCATAATCCAGCAGGGTCTGGGCTCTTCTAACGCTAGGAGGGAGGGGACGATCAGCAGCGTATCCAGCTTTTGATTTTTTTTTTTTGGGGGGGGGGGGGGGGGCAACCGCACATCCGTGCCGAAATGTAGACATGTTTTTTTCGGACACTTGCCCTCCGTAAAAAAGCGGCGGGGGGGGGGGGGGGGGGGGGGGGGGGGTTGGCATGTTGTTTTATTTTGTTTAACCCTCTCACTCCCATGGGCTCCTTTTGGCACAAAAAGTCGACGCCACTTCTTCCTTTTGGCACCAAGCCATTCTGCTTTTTGCGAAAATGTAAATAGCGCCCCCTCTCGACGAAATGTCTCTCTGGCATTATGTAACTGCATGGTTGAACTGCATGGTGTATGTAACTCCATGCTTGAAGCATATCAAACAGACGACAAATGTACTCAATTATGTAAATATAAACATTATTCCTCCTCCCCCCTCCCCCCAAACAATGTTGCTAGGGGAATTGGCCAGTTTGCCTGCACGCCCTATTTCCAACAACATTGAATAAACATGCAGGTGGTTTGGAAGTTCACATATTGTTTACATTTGCTGGGCAAGCAAATGGGCTCTGTCCTCCATGCATAAAGTAGGAGGGCGCTTACATAGTGACATTTTTCCAAATGCTCCTGGTAATCGAGACTCATGAGTACTTTATTCTCCTGGGAGCTAAAGGGATATATCCATACACCCCGCATTATTAATGAAATCGTCTGAAAGTTTTTAACCAATAACGTGTCAGTCTTTCATTGAAGGAATAAGTTGGAAGTAACAGCTGCACATGTTTTTTTTAGGATCTTGTAATTGATTGGTACAATAGTTTGGAAGTTACGATTGAAAGTAAGTTTGTTTTCAGGATCTTGTAAATGATTGACATAATAATTTGGAATTATAAACGCGTATTTAACTAAACTGAAGCTAAATTAGGAATTTTCTTCCGAGTTTGGGTGTTTAACTTAACAAAATGTCCCCAAATAAATGGGTCCACAAATTCACGGCGCAGGAAAAAAAATAGATTTTAGATGCTCTGTCGTGCGATCTAATTTTAACCAATTTTGGTGAAAAGATGATGGTGTACGTAGTGGCAGCCTATTATTGTGACGTCACTAAAACAAAAACAATTTGGGTTCTGTTTTTTTTTTGGGGGGGGGTGTGGCATGGCCCTGTTCGCCCCCCCCCCCCCACTTGGATCTGGCACACCACACATGCACCCTAAGTTACCCTCCTTTGATAAAACACAAGATGAGTTAGATGCGTACATTCAACATTTCGAACCCGCAAACATGCTCATTATCGGAGGTTTGGTTGATGGCACTCATGTCCCCATATTACGCAACACTGGTTGTAGCACTGTAGTAATTAGATACGATTTAGTCTCCTCTGGGCAAAATAGAATCTGTGTACTTGAAGATGGTACGATTCGCAAAGCACTGATTGTGATTGTCGAACTAGATAAAAGGCCCATGGATTAATTCCGATTTGCGTGCGCCCACGGGCGCATGCGTGCACATGCAGGCAACCCCGTGCCACACGGGTCTGCTACAGGTCCATCACACTGCTGTCAGTTCCAAGAAAGGTTTTCAGCCATGTCCTGCTGTATCGCTTAGAACCACTACTCACCCATCACCGTCGCCCCCAACAGTCTGGCTTTATGAGGCGCCGGTCAACAATGGATGCAGTGCTCGCCCTGCGACTTCTTTCTGAAATAAACTGTGAGTTCAAGAGATCTCTTCATGATGCCTATTTAGAAATCAAGGCAGCCTTCGACTCGGTAGACCGGAAAGCTCTATGGCATGCCCTGAAAGCTACCGGAGTCCCACCATTCCTGCTTCAGGCCCTGCACGAGGGTAGTACCTCCACTGTCAGGTCAGGCTGCGTTCTCGCCCAAACCCTATTCTGCTGTTCCATCGACTGGATTTTAAACTGCCCTCAGTCAGATCTTGGTATAACAGTGGGAGATAAGTCCTTCACAGACCTGGACTATGCCGACGCCGACGCCCTGTTCTTAGGAAAACCTGACCAGTGGCCTATCTCACTCTAGAGGTTTGAAGAAGAAGCCAGGACGATGGGGATGCATGTGTCATGGGCCAAAACAAAGCTTCAGAATTGCACAGGCCTTGGTCCATCACTCGCCCCAGCCACTGTCATGGGCCAGCCTGTCAAAATCACGGAGAGGTTCAGGTATCTCGGCTGCGACATCAGCTCCTCGGGCTACTCATTGCCCGACATCCTTCGACGTATAGGCCTCGCTTCTTCAACCTTTGGTCAACTGGACCAGATGTGGCGGGACAAATGCCTTAACCTTTCAACGAAACTGAGGATACAACTTAAGTCGACTTGTGTCCTCCCCGTACTACTATATGGGTCGGAGACGTGGACGCTCCTAACCCAGGACGGGCGAAAGCTTCAAGCCTTCAATATGAGGTGCCAACTGTGCATCCTTGGTGTCCGGTGGTCCGACTTTGTCGCCAACAACACTATCATGGGGACCACTGGTCTCGAGGATATCCATGCTACCATCTTACCGACGCGTCATTCCCTCTTCAGTCATGTCCGACGGCTATCGGATGACACGCCAGCCCATGCCGCCCTTAAGCTTAGCGTAGATGTACTAGGGGGATTCCACCCTGACATTGCATGGAAGAGACCCAGGGGCCGACACCTGGGTGCGACAGATAGAAGTTGACCATGAGACATGTGCACAACAGCTGTGGCAGTCTGCATCTGATCGCTTGGTCTGGGCAGCTCAACGTCCCCCTTGATGGATTTGGAAAATGATGATGATGATGATGATGATCATAAGCAGATGAAACTTTTTGCACAGGAAATGATATCTCACTTAACCATATCCGAGAGAACTGTTAGCGAGGAAAGACGAAACATGAACTAAAAATGTCTCTAGAACACTTTCTCATTAATCAATGGTTTGCTATATCGGGAATTTCAATCTTCTAGTCACAAATTTGGTCAACCGTGTAATCAATTAGTAGTTCATACAAAGTTCAGAAAATACGCCATGAAAGTCGCACATGAAGGTATCCTTGGTGGAAATCAAAGCGCAAAGAAAACTACGGATAGAGTAGCTATAGCTAACTTCTTATGGCCAGGGGTTCAAGCCGATGTAAAGCGATGCGATACATTGTGCAAAATCTGTCAAAGATTTATACAGAAGTGTAGAGTGACCAAAGTCCCATTCGGCAAAGTACCCATAATCGATACGCCTTTTCATTGCATTGCCATAGACATGGTAGGACCGATTCACCCAATTTAAGACCATGAAATTCGATAGATATTAACGGT